CTTGTTACCCAGGCTGGAGTGCAATGGCGCGATCTCGGCTCACCGCAACCTCCGCCTCCTGGGTTCAGGCAATTCTCCTGCCTCAGCCTCCTATGTAGCTGGGATTACAGGCACGTGCCACCATGCCCAGCTAATTTTTTTGTAGTTTTAGTAGAGACGGGGTTTCACCATGTTGACCAGGATGGTCTCGATCTCTTGACCTTGTGATCCACCCGCCTCGGCCTCCCAAAGTGCTGGGATCTCTTTCTGTATTTTTAAATGATATTCTGAAACTTCCCTGATTGGGATCTTCTACTGGCCTTTCCCCAAGAGCCACTTGGTTTGAAATAGGCAGAGCATATGGTGATATTTGTTTATTGCTATTTTCAGCCTTTTCCATGTAAAACTGAAATTCTGACTATGCAATTTACAAGCCGAGTAACCTTGGACACCCTCTTTGTGTCTCGAAATTTTAAGGATTGAGATGATATGCTATAGTGTTTGTACTAGTGCCTGGCACATGGTACTCAAAAAACACTAGCTGTAATTATTCTTTAGGATTTTATTTTTTCACACTCAGTGCTAGCAGCTTTTCTTCCCTCTCTCCTGTAGGCATTCACCCAGAGGAAAGGCTGACTCTGAGGTGCCACTGAGAGAAATAGGTACAGTAGATTCTTCCAGAGATAACAAACGGAGACTTGACGTGGGAGTAAGAGAAGTCGGGGTGTCAGAATACTGAAGAGAGAGAGCTTTGTTCTCGTGGCATAGAAGCCAGGAAAGTAAAAAGGCTTTAGCAGGCACCAGGTGCGTCCACTTTGCAGAGGATTTGGAGAGAACAAGCAGTGTTCACATATCAGTCTCAGGACTCATTTCTGGAACAATCATCAGTTTAATCCAGTGAGGATGGCTCTTCTCTTTCATGAGCATTTTCCTATTTTTGAAATATTAATAAGTAGGTGCTTTGTTCCTAGGAAGTGGAGAGAAGGCAAGGAAAATACTCCTCGTACTCATGGCAGCTGGAGTGGCCGCCACGAGCCAGCTGCCATTAGGTTATGGAGAACGTCTTGAACATTGTAAAACCCCAGCACCTAGTGCAGTGACTAGCATAGTAGGCACTCAGAAAGTGTCTGTAGGATTGTATTTCAAACTTTAGTTGTCTTTCCCAAAGAAGCCTGTCGTGCCCACACGCGGCCGCAAGAAGTCCGCGCCTAGAAATAACATTTATTCTAAGGATCTCTGCGCAGAGATTCCTGGGAAGCGGTTTCCCTTCCCGCATCCCCTTGTTACTCCTCCCCTCCGCCGCCTTTGAAAGAAGTGGCACGCTACTCGATTCCCTCCTTTCTCCCACCTCCGAAGACCAGGCTGATAATGGGCAGGAGCGTAGGCCAACCATAAAACTTTATTTCCTCCTCCAGCCAATAGCAAGAGGCGATGAGTAAATGGCTCCTCTTTTGTGACTTCCCCCGCCCCCTTTGATTCCGCCCCCTATTCCCCCACTCAGATTCCACACTTGACAACACATCTGGCCAATGAGAAGTTCCTAGTCTGCATGGGAAGGATGGACTGAGTAGATGATAGACGTCCGCCCCTAGCCAATGAAATATCAAAAGTGCGGGAGGGCTGTAGGATGGAACCAATGGCGAGGTGCCAAAAACGAGCATCAGGGAAAGGGCGGGACGAAAGTGTTCGCGGAGGGAGGGGAAGGCCCAGGGAACCAAGCAGCGCTGCCGCCGCCGCCGCTGCAGCCGGAGTTGGAGGAGGGAGAAGCCAGGAAGAAAATGGCCGCCGTGGCTGCAGAGGCGGCAGCGACTGCAGCGTCCCCCGGGGAGGGGGGCGCCGGCGAGGCCGAGCCGGAGATGGAGCCCATCCCCGGCAGTGAGGCCGGCACTGATCCCCTCCCGGTCACGGCCACTGAAGCGTCTGTGCCGGATGGCGAGGCCGACGGGCAGCAGTCCGCTCCTCAGGCCGACGAGCCGCCGCTCCCGCCGCCACCGCCGCCACCAGGGGAGCTCGCCCGCAGCCCGGAGGCAGCGGGGCCGGAGCTGGAGGCTGAGGAGAAACTGTCCATTCGGGTGGCGGAGTCGGCGGTAGCCGCGCCTCAGGGAGGGCCCGAACTTCCACCTTCTTCTGCACCGCCGCAGGAGCAGCCCCCGGCTCCTGAGGAGCGCGAGGAGCCGCCGCTGCCTCAGCCTGCAGCTCCGGCGCTCGTGCCGCCGGCGGGCGGGGACTCCACGGTGTCGCAACTGATCCCGGGCTCGGAGGTGCGGGTCACGCTGGACCACATCATTGAGGACGCGCTCGTCGTGTCGTTCCGCCTCGGGGAGAAGCTCTTCTCGGGGGTCCTCATGGACCTGTCCAAAAGGTACCGCGTCCGCCCCCAGCACGCTGCGGTCCGCCGGGTCCCCAGGGAGGGAGCGAACCCCGGGCGGCCCCCTTTCCCCGAGCCTTCGCTTCCCCGCTGCTCGGGGCCCCGCCGCTTGCACCGCCCTCTGGTCCTGCGCGGCGGGTGGAACGCGCTCCGAGTGGGGCAGTCGCGCGGGGCCGGGAGGGGGCGGTCCCGGCCCCAGGTGGGCGCCTGCGGGGCAGGTGTGCTACCAGGTGGGAGGGCGCGGGTGCAGATGGGCTCGCAGGTCTCACCCCTTACGCCCGGTGTTCTTCTGCGACTTGGCCTGGACTCACCCTCACTGGGGCGAGTGGGTTAATGCAAAATGCAGATGGATTTTTGCAGAGAACGGGATGCTGGGCGGGTGGGCATTGCTTGCGAGGAGGCATTGGTCTGTTTGTCCTAAAATTAACGTTTAACTGTAGCACGGTTGGAGAAAGGGGTGTGTACATTGGGGTTCCCAAAAGATTACCTGTCACTGCTTACATAGGGAAGAGCATTTGTTAAAATCAACCTTTTAACTGTAATTCTTAGGTTAGAAGTCATTCCCGTTAGGTTAACTGTTCAATAGAGAAACATATTTTGCTAATTTTAATGGTAGTTGTAAGGAAAGTTTAAAGACTGGAGATTTTTTTTTTTAAATCCTCTAATGTCAAGGTAGTGTAGCGTAAAAATGTTCAAATAACTTTTAACACTGGGGATACAGTTTATGTATTAAGGACAAGAAGGTTTAGTTCATCTACAAACTTGGCTTAACCAGCACATTTT